AATTACTTTGAAATCTTAAGATGTTACTAATTCGTTTATTTCTTATTCCTACCAATTTCTATCTCTTGATGCTCATTTAAATTCTGAAGTAGCAGTACAAGCCATAGGCATACCGACACATAACCTAGAGTGTGGTTGTATTTTGCCATGTGTCTGACTGCACATGTTCTGGAGATGGATGACAGAGAGCTTTGTAAAGCAGTCTTCTGATGACTGCTCTGGAAACAAATCTGTTGGACCAAAACTTGTTTGCCTTCTTATTGTCAGAAGTAAACCACAAAGGACGTAAATGATTAAATTCTCTCTGATTTATAGATACTAGAAATAAATTAGATAAAACACCATTCCTTAGCTTTTTTTTTTTTAGATGGCTATATTCAAGTACAAGTTTCTAATGTTCCTCCTACAGAAGAAGTTACTAATGGAAAAAATCCATCAATGACTCCAGTTATGCACGCTCAACTATGCAGATACTCTAAAATCTCTCTAGTGAGGAAGCACATCCCATAGAACATAAGCAAACTAAAATATAAATGATAAAAATAGCGTTCCATTGATCAGCAAAATCATCTCCTGAGTAGCTTTGGTGTTGTATTTTTCTTTGTTCAGATACTGGGGATAAATGGTTGATCCTGCACTGCTTCTCTCTAAGAACTTGGGGAAAAGGAGAAGCAGCCCATTTCTATTTTTCTATTTATGGTTTAAAATATTCTCAGCTACAAGAAAAGGCAACGTGATTATTAATCTGAAAGGCAGTTTAAATGCATACAAATAAGTTCTACTGTATAAAGTTCTGCTCTTCCATTCTATACAGATTCCATTCTATAACAAGCACTGTTTTTATTGTCTCTAAGTTCTGTCTCTGTCCTATTTCCTATTTTTCTCAACTGTTTTCAAAACATTTTTATCTTTTTAAACCAATAACAAAGGTAGAACAGTAATACATATCTTCAGTCAGTCTCATCCAAACAATTCTCCCCAGATAAGTAAGAAAACTCTAAAAATAAAGGTGGGAAACAGTAAAACTGGTCAAGACAACTAAGCCAGTGATGAACTAAGAGAATCATTCCCCCTCCACTTATTTAAGTGAGTAATACAGGCAGATTAATACAATTTAAAGTCCACCCACACCAGACAGATTGCATTCTTACCAGTTTAGTTTGCAGTGCATGCGATGAGTATTTCTAGTGGTCAGTGTAGTATGTCAGTACTTGTGCACAAGAAAAGTACTGCCAAAATAAATATAACCTGCCCAATGAACATAACCATGCGCTAAAATGCGCAGCCACAGCCCTACTGGAAGATGTATGATTACTTGTTTGTGCAAGATGCTGTTTAAATACCTGCTGTCACAACTGTCACCAACAGGTGGGGAAAATATGACATTCAGTAAGCCAGAAATGCAGCTCTCTTCACCTATTTCTCATTTACAGGTTACTTAGATCCCAGAAGTGCCTATTCTCATTTCAGTTAGAAGAAAACCAGGAATTATGCTGCTGACATTTTGCCTTTTTCTAAAGTGGCATTCACCCTTATAACATTCATCCATGTTATATTAAAGGTGACTGTACTTTTTGGATAACCACAGTGTCCAGGCATCATACTATCATTAGACATGAGGAAGGATATTACTGTATTTCATCCTATTTTATGGAAATTTATCCATACTCAGAAAAAAAGCACATTTGATGTATAAATATTTAGATACACAGCTATTTAGAACAGATACAGATGGTGGCCTGGCAACAAAATTACATTGCTCAACCTTACACAGTCCTGGTTACCTGCAAACATCTAGAAGAATACAGTTTAAGAGTCTTCCATCCATTCCCAGTTGTGTAGGCAGAACTCAGGTAACACACTGTGCAGTTATCTGAGACCCATAACATTACTGCATATGGGAAGAAGGCACAGGAATGCTAATTACTCAGCAATGAGAACACAAGGATTCCCCCAAAGCAAGTTCACCAAAAATATGGCTCATCTCCAGCAGATTTTAGGACATTTAAGGCGGCAAATTGCTTAGGCCTCTCTGATTATTATAACAGGTGTGCAAATGCTATTAGTAAAAATGCTCAACAGATAAGCTGTCGTGCATTTATCAAGTGGGCATCACAAGATATAAGGATATGATATTTAGATGATATTTAACCACCACAAGACTAAGGCCGCTCCAGCATCAACAGATGGAGTTTAACCCCGTGCTGCACAAACGGCTGACGTATGGTGTTGCCCACCAAACATCACACACTGCGGCCAGCGGGACCAAACAGCGGCCCACAGCCCTGGTGTGCTCAAGGTCAAAGCGGGACAGCCCCGCGCTCGGGCACGGACAGTGGGACGTCCGCCCAGGCGGGATGGCTGCGCCCCGGGCACGGCGTCTGCCTGCCCCCCAGGCAGGGCACGGCCGGGCGCCGGCGCTCTGCAGCGCGGGGCCCGCTCAGCGCCGCCGGGCAGCCCGCGGGGCGCGGAGGGAAGGGCCGGCCGCCACAGGTGAGCCGTCGCACGGCGCCCAGCGGGCCGGCCGCGTTCCCCCGCACCTGCAGCCCGCCCTTGGGCGGATGCGCCGCCGTCCCGGCCCTCCTCGGCGAGCCGGTGGGGAAGGCGGCGGCAAGCGGGCCCGTCTGCGGGGAGAGGAGGGCGGGCTCGGCTCCCGCCGCCCGCCGAAGGGGGAAAGGGAAGGGAGAAGAGAACGGCGGGGAGCCGCCTTACCTCAGCGACCCCGCCGGAAGAGCCGCGCCGCCGCCGGCCGCCCCGCGCCACCCTGACAGCTCCCGGCGTGCCCCGCGCGCCGACGCACCGCGCCGCCTGGCGGAGCGCCGCGTCAGCAGCGGGTTGGGGGGGCTCATCACAGTGATCCCGAGGCGACTGTCCTCACGGTTGTAAGTCTGCTAGCTCGTGGCTTATGCTAACAGCCAGCAGCTGAAGGAGCCCGGCCTTACTCTCGTGGTGTGGGGTAACGCAGAGGAGATGGCAATCGCTTCCTCGTGGAACTATTTCATAACTCTACTGCATAAATTCAGATTCAGCTCAATACTCAGTACTGCATAAATTCAGCCAGCCCCCAGATCCTTGGGACATACGCAGGCACCGAGTACAGCCACACACCCTGTATTTCCAAGTGAAGCAATGTGTCGGCCCTTACTTTTTGTTACAGGACAATACAAATGCACCTGAGATTTAATTCCTACCCAGAGGTCAGCAGTGCATATAGGGCCACTTAGTATAGAAAGCAACTTCTTAAGCAGAGAGTGATAGGACAAGGGGAAATGGTTTTAAACTGAGAGAGGGTAGATTAAGTTAGATGTCAGGAGGAAGTTCTTTACTCAGAGGGCAGTGAGGTGCTGGCACAGCTGCCCAGAGAATTATAAGTGTCCCATTTCTGGAGGCACTCGAAGCCGGGTTGGATGGACAGCTGAGCTGGTGGGGGGCAGCCCTGTGCACGGCTGGTGTCTTCAGGCAACAGGAGAATGCTGTATTCTCTACCTGCAGATCTGCAATTGGAGAACAGGCTCTGTGCTGTGGTAGCAGACGACAGAATGAAAGGTACCTCTGAAGAAGCACTGGAGCTCTCCAAGCCCCGAGCACATGGCAGCACCACTATGAGGAAGTGGCGGATGATGGCAGCTGGTGACTGTTGTGGAGGATGAAGGACACCATCTGCCACCTGGACTTTTGGCCTACTGCCCCCAACCGCTTGTACACAGAGGCACCAATGACGCTGCCTTCTCTGTGGAGCAGCATCATGGATGTGGGGAACTTTTCATAGAATCTCAGAATGGCCAGGGTTGGAAGGGACCTCAAGGATCATGAATCTCCAACCCCCTGCCACAAGCAGGGCTACCAACCTCTACATTTAACAGCAGACCAGGCTGCCCAGGGCCCCATCCAGTCTGGTCTTGAACATCTCCAAGGATGGGGCACCCACAACTTCTTTGGGCAGCCTGTTCCAGCACCTCACCAGTCTCTCTCTTAAGAACTTCCCCCTGACATCCAACCTAATTCTTTCCTCCCTCAACTTAAAACCATTTCCCTTGTCCTGCTGTTATCTACCTTTCCAAAGAGTTGACTCCCCTCCTGTTTGTAGGCTCCCTTTAGGTACTGAAAGGCTGCAATGAGGTCACCCCGCACCTTTCTTTTCTCCAGGCTGAACAAGCCCAGCTCCCTCAGCCTGAACTCTTGTATGAGATGGACAACAGGCTGTGCGACAGTTTGTGATTCAGGATCAGAAGAGACTGGTAAGAGTGGAAGCTTGGTGGCCACCTAGTGAAGGTAAAAAATCATAGAATCATTAAGGTTGGAAAAGACTACTAAGATCATCTAGTCCAATCACTGACCCATATCCACAAACCATACCCATCAGTGCCACATCCACACAGTTTTTAAGCATCTCCAGAGACAGTGACTGCACTATGTACCTGGGCAGCCTGTGCCACTGCCTTACCACTCTTTCTGATAAGTTATCCTAATATCCAACCAGAACTCGTCCTGGTGCAATGTGAGGCCATTCCTTCTTACCCTATCGCTGTTATCTGGTAGAGGAGGCTGACTCCCACCTCACCACAACTCTCTTTCAGGGAATTATAGAGAGCAATGAAGTCTTCCCTGGGCCTCCTTTTCTCCAAACAGAACTATCTCAGTTCCCTCATGCGCTCCCTGCAAGCCTGTGCTCCAGACCGTTCACCAGCTTCTGGAAACACCCTAACACTTCAATGTCTTTGTTGTGAGAGGCCCAAACCTGAACACAACACGCCAGGTAGCAAGGGGTTGATGCAGGGAGTTCTTTGTCGTCCCAGCGCCTGGTTACAGCTGCTGCCCTCGGGGCTGACCAGCCCTGCGCACCAGCCGAGGCAGAAGAGAGCAGCGCTGCAGAGAGACAACCGCGAGGCCGGACAGCGCCGGCACCTAGCTGCAGGCGGCGCTGCGGCAGGAGGCCGCGGTTGCAGCTCTGGACAGGCGGAAGAAGCAGCCGCTTCCTTCCTGCGCGGGCTGTTGGAGGAGCTGCGCCGGCATGGTGTGCGCGTTCCTGCTGGAGATCCGGCGGGGGACGCAGAGCGCTTTGCTCGTTATCCGGTAGCACGGGAACCCTTCCACCCTCCTGCTTTCCCTCCCTCCTTTTGGGGCTGAGCGGGACCTGCGCGTTGCGCAGCGCTGGGTAGCAATTCCTTATGCGGGATAATAAAAAAAAAACAATAATAAGAAACCTGTTTTGCCTTTCCAGCGAGGCGAGCTTGCGGAACCTGCCGGCCGACATCTCGGTGGCTCCGGGCCGGCTGGAAGTGAGGAGCAGCTCCGCCTGCGGGGTGGCTGCGTTGCCGCCAGGGGTCAGCCTGGCTCCGTCCTCCTGCCGCGGGCTGCGGCGCCTGCACGGAGATGGCCTGCACCTGCACCTGCGGCTGCGCGGTGTGCCCCGCGCCCCGGGTAAGGCTGCGCGCCGGCGGGCAATACTGATAGTCACGGCTTCTGGGTGCATCGGCAGCGATCTGCTCTAAAAAGCAAAACTGCGTGAGGTGACGCAGAGAGGGAAGTTTGCTGAGTAACTTCTGCGTGGGAGTTTAAGAGCTGTGTTCGACTCCCTCCCCATGCTTTCCCTCTCCTATTTCACATTTAGTTGCTAAAAATGCAGTAATATGACTCATTCTGGCTATAATGCAAAAATTGTCAGTGGCCATTTATGTGTGTTTTATATAAGTTTTATGTTTTATATAAGCTTGTGAAACTTATCTTTTATGTATCTAGAATGTTCTTAAGTGCCTTTTCTTTGTGATTGCTGCCTAATTCTAAAATACCGACTACCTTTGCTGAGAATATACCTTGATGTCAGAAAGCCTGTTTATGCATAGAGTTAGGCTTACACTTTTTCTTCTGCCTGATATTGATTGTTGTTCTCTGGATGCTTTTGTAGGTTTTTATTTATTTATTTATTTGTTTGTTTTTAATTTAGAAACTTGTATTTTGAGTTATCTGATCTGTCTCCTGAGACTGTGTTCTCTTTACTGACCTGTAGAGGGTATTGCCAACTGTCTGTTCTTTGAGTGATACCTCCATGACTGTGTATCTTACCTGGCTGAGGATTGAAGACTGCTGACTTTTTTTTTTTTTTTAAGCACCCAAATGTTTTTTGTTGTGTATTGGGAAGTACCTCATATGGCAGAGGCACTCACCAATAGGCCAGGCCGGATGTGGCTCTGGGCAGGCTGCTCTGGTGGTTGGTGACCCTGCACGTAGCAGGGGGTTGAAACTAGATGATCATTGTGGTCCTTTTCAACCTAGGCCATTCTATGTTTCTATGATCATTGCACAAGAAAAGCACTGAATATTAGTTTGTACAATGTCTGTAATGATAAGCAGTATGGGGCATGAGTTGGAGGTGGCAAGTTTATCCCATCTCATTACTTGTTTCTACGGGTAAATAAGGTTGTGTGTAGAATGTCACTGTTTTGCTTTGTTTTTTAGATTCTTATCTTGCTTAAGAGTGAAGTTCTTGAAAAGACTTTTTGTGTATGAGTGAAAACTTTGCCCAACCTTGAGGATTACTGTCTTCTCTTGTTTGTAGAATCGGCTTATAATCTGAGGGAAAGCCTGAAACCACAGAAGAGTTACATCTTTTACTGCCAGTCCTGTGGTGACATCATAGTAAAAGAAAGGTAAGCACCGCAGTGTCTTGCACTAATGTCAGTAACTGCCATACTGATTTGTGTTTGTATTATTTTCTCTACTTAGATAGTTGAAAGATGTTAATTTTGAACTTGTTAGTTAAGAATACCTTGAAACACTTCTACAGATGACTAAAATCAAAATTGTCTGAAACAACTTTTATGTATTTATTCATTTATTCATTTTGGCTTAGAAGGTAGAAATAGCTAACTAACAGCATATGGTGCATTGTCCTGCAAGGTGGGAAATCTGAATTCTCTTCTTGGTTGTCTCCGGTGCCTCAAACAAGACATTTTTTTTTGTGGCTGGACTTCGCTGTGTGTAAAAACAAAATGCTGAAATATTTTGAATTGCAAATAGAAAGTTCAACACATTTTTAATTTTCACTGATTCAAAAATACTCAGAGTCTATGTTTAGCTGACAGCTCTGCTGTATCTAAGGGACTCTGCTCATTGCAGAGGAGTTGGCCTAGATGACCTTTAACAGTCCCTTCCAACTCAAAAAGATTCTATGAAAACTGTAACCTAGACTTCTTTCTTCCTGTGTACTTTGAGGGATCCTTTTCAGTTCTGTCCACTCTGTTAGGAATTTTCTTCAGTCACAGTGCTGTTGTTATAGAGTAGCTGGCCAGGATGGAAGTGTTGTCAGCAGCTCTCTTCTTCTGTCTTTTAAGCAAAGCTGGCTTCCACATTACTTTGGAAATGCTGAATTTGGAAGTTCAGGAGCAGTTTCTTAGCTATACGACTTGACCTTCTCTACTCCTTACAAAGTGAAACACAGAATGAATGAATGAATCATAGAATGTCTTGGGTTGGAAAGGATCTCAAAGATCTAGTTCAAACTCCCCTCCCATAGGCAGGGCTGCTAGCCACTAAATCAGGTGCTAGATTGGGCTACTGAGTTTTACATCCAGTCTGTCATCAAACATCTCCAGAGATGAGTGTAGAGGAAATGCTAAGTCATGGCTTGAAATGGGTGGGAAGGCAGGGCCAACCCAGAGGAGCTCAGGTGCATGCAATGTATCTGAGTAACTGGAAGGGGTGGAGCCAGGATCAACACCCTCCCCTCCACCCGCAACCTCATTTAAGAGTTGAAAGTGGAGGTTTTCCTTTGTGTCTGTTGTATTTAGGCTTATTCTTACTTGCTCTGGCATAGGACTTTGCTGTTTGCCACTATCGCTGCTGTGCTTTCCATCGTGTTGTAGCATTGCAATGAGGCATTCACAACCTCTTTTGGCAGCCTGTGCTGGTGCCTCACCAGCTTCTCAGTGAAAAACTTCTCTTGAACATCTAATCTAAATCTCTCCTCTTATAGTTGAAAACTGTCTCTTGTCCGGTTGCTATCTATCCATGTAAAAAGTTGTTTTCCCTTCTCCTTGTAAGCTCCCTTCGAGTACTGGAAGGCCACAATGAGGTCTCCCTGGGGCCTTCTCTGCTCCAAGCTAAACAAGTGCAGGTCCCTCAGCCTTTCTTCACTGGATGGTGATCCAGCCCTTCTGGTTCTCCTCTGGATCAGTTCTACATTCTTGCTGTACTGGGGCCCCAGGCCTGGGCATAGTACTCCAAATGGGGCAGAGTAAAGAGAGACAATCACTTCCCTCAGTCTCCTGGCCACCCTTCTTTTGATGCATCTCAGGATACTGTTTGCCTTCCAGGCTACAAGCACACTGTACCATCTCATGGTAAGTTTTTCATCTACTAGGACCCCAAAGTCCTTCTCCACTGGGCTGCTCTCAATGAGTTCTTTCAGTTTTTTATAGATATTTAGGATTGCCCTAACCCAAGTACAGCATCTTGCGCTTGGCCTTATTGAACCTCATTAGGTTCACATGGGCCCACCTTTCAAGTTTATTCAGGTCCATTTGGGTGGCATTTGTTCCATCTGTTGTAACAGCTGCATCTCTGAGCTAGGTGCAATCCACAGACTTGCTCAGTCTTATTATGTATGCCACTAGTAAAGATGTTAAAGATTACTGGTCCCAAGATGGACCCACTGAGGGACATGACTTGTGACTGACCTCCACCTGGACATAGAGCCGTTGACCACAACCCTCCGGCTGTGACTTCCTAGCCAGTTCCTTATCCACTAATCCACTGTTTGAACCCATATCTCCAATTTGGAGATAAGAATGTTGCGTGGGACCTTGTCAAAAGCTTTGAAAGAGACCAGGTAGTCTGCAGAGTGAATGAGAATTTTAATAAAAAGCTGCTGCGTTTTCTGGATCTTGTGATGAAGAATTTTGACACCTTCAGCTGCATGTGTATAAAGTGTTAGAGACACACTTGACACACTTGCAGCGTTTTATGGTCTGTGTCACTCCTAATACTCAAAATGGTAATGCAAATGTAAATCAGTAATTTTTTTTTTTTTTTTTTTTTTTGTCATACGTACAGATTTATGGTTATCCTGAACATAAAGGGGGAAGGGTTTTGGGCTTTCTCTGATGAAATGTCTCATCAGAAAGTCTTGCAATAAGCTTTTGATAGATTTATAGGGTAATGAAACTTGTGATTTCTAGTCAGAAGCATTTGCTTTCAAAAAATCTTTTATATTTTCATCTTGGAGTGGGTATTTTCCTGAATTTCAGCACACCAAATTCGTATGCATGGAATTTACATATTTTGGTTCAACATCCTACAGTGTAACATAATTTGAATTTTTAGAAAGAAAAAAAAAAGACATTATAATACATCACACGTAAAACATTTCTCCTTGCAGAAGACCTCTGACCGCCTTGAATGTTGTCTCTAAATTATATTGACTCGGGTAAGGATAGAAGGTTGGAGCTGCCAGTGTGTCAGTTTCTGTTTTACCACTCCTGCTCTTCCAAAAAAGACAATACTTTCAGAAATAAAAATTGTTTGTTGTTCACTGCGTAGTCCAGAGACCTTGCTAATGAGAACACAGGTGATGGGATTGAAGGGAAGTTGAAAAACTGTGTATGTGAGAGCTTAATAAAGTGTGCATTGCTTGAAAAGTGTCTGTAATAAAATCAGTCTGATATCTAGAAAAGGATATCTTTAAAGAAATTGGAAGAAATGGAATTTAGTTTAGATGTCTCCTAGGAGACATAAGAGTCGTCTGGTATGTGCATAGTTGCTGCAACAGTGGTAGTTACGGTATTTAGCTGAAGCAAGAGGATTTTAGGTTAAAATGAAAAAACATATTCTAAAGCTTGTTTTTTTTTTTGTTTTTTTTTTTTTACCACTAGAGATAGTCTGCAATCTCTATCACTTTGAAGAGTAGATGAGAGAAGTATGTCTGGAATGGTTTAAGTGTTGTGAATCCTTTCTTGAGACAGGGAAATGGACTGGATGAGAGTTTTCAGCTCAGTTTTCTGTTATTCCCTCAATGTTTTCTGAGATCCACTGGATTAATCTGTCTCCTCTGGGAGTTTTGATGACTCTTCAGGCATAAGGGTTATGCTCTCTGCTTCTTCCGCATTATCCTTACATTAGAGGAAGTGGTTAAATTTTTGTTTTTTTCTCATAATTTTAAGAGTTGCAAAGAATTTGGGGTATTTTCTTTCTCTCCTTACAGTTATACATACATACAGTATGAGTGTAGGTCATAGATAAAATAATTCTCTAAGATGTTATAATGTATGAAGGGCTGAATGTTGCAAAAAATAATATTTAGAAATTGACTATTAAGAAATTACTGATTTAATTAGCCCCAAGCCTGAGCAACTTTACTACACAAGTATTGTATTGAAAAACTGATTGTAGAAGTCTTTTAATCTTTTAGACTTTTCATTTACTAGTAGCTTCAAGCTTGACAGCTGTCAAGATGGTCTTTCCAAAAAGATGGCTGCTCCTAAAGGGATCCCATTGGATCTCCTATCTTTTCTTCCTTTCTAGAACTGAAGTGTTAATACTTATTTTTACTCCTTTACTTCTTGTTGGAGGCATTTTCAATAAATAGGATGATGTGATTGGCTGCTTAAATATGAATTAATAATGACGATAGACAATGTTTATATAATGTAGTTTTACAAGAATCTCTATGGCCGAATCCTCACCTTAGCAAGGAAGCCCATTACTGCAACTGTCTTAGACTAGTACCTAACTTTTAGCTTTTTAAAACTTAAGCACCTAGACTTCTGTTTGGAGACAGCATTTCTAAAGGGAGGTTTAGGTTTATTAGATGCTTACAGAAGGAGACTGTGTCTCTTAATTTTTCTCTGGCTATATAACTACCTTAAAGCAGAAACTTAGCTATTGGTTATCAAGGTTATAAGTTTTATTTTCAGGCTAGAGTTTATTATTGTATTTAGCAGCTTTAAGGGAGTCAGCACCTGGTAGACTTCAGGCTTCTTTTTTTATTGTTGTTTCCTGGAAAGCTGATTTCAATTAAGTGTTAACATTTTTCCAGTTCTAGAAACAGAATCTAGAATAAGGATTTTCAAGTCTGAATGGTGAAAGGCTAAAATAAAGTGGAAAAGTTATACTTTCTATATAGCTTAGTTGGGAGGAACCTGTTAAGAAACTTCTCACTGATCAGAATAACTGCTTTTGGTTTGGCAAAGATTCAAGATCTTGATGCAATTTACAAAGCTCCAGGCTGTGAGGGTAAAAAAAGAGTAATGTAAAGAAATTGGACAGCATTGATCTGCAGCCTAAGGTAATCTTTTTTTTTTTTTTTCCTTCTTCTTCAACACTTTAAAAAGTATTGCTGAGCAGTACCACCTTTATGTTGCTGTAATAGGAGGAATGGTACAAGGGAATGAAAAAAAACATTTTTAGTGTTAGTCCAGGTGTTAGCACTAACTGTATGCAACTGGGAAGAATAATCAGTCTTTAGACCTCCATCTGAACCTTGATAATATCTCTGCTGATGATACATAAAACTACAAAGAGTGAAGTCAGGGATGCATAGTGCCAGAAGGTGACATTAGTCATAATGCTAAAGCTGGGCAGGAATACCAGTTATTCCAGATTCCATCTGCAGATGGGGCAAGCACAGTTTGAAATGTATTGCAGATCGAGAAAGAAGGAAGTCTGTATACAAAAGTTTTCCTTTGACTTAGTCGGCAATACAGAAAGCACAACGAACTGCAGTGGGAAAACAGGCATCTTCAGAAAAGAGCAGTCTCTGAAATGCAAGAAAAGGAGGGTGTTTAATTGCTGTCTCATTAATTCTCATTAGTTCTCTGATGATTTGCAAAGTGAGATTGTATTTGCAAGTTTTCAACTAGGAGTGGAATCAAGAAATGATGTGTGAGGAGTTTGGGTAAGAACAGACAAAATATGAGAGCAAAAGTAAAACACTTGAAGAAACTAGACAGATAACAAAACATTGTGACAAACCACATGTAGAAAATTGTTGGAGAACATGCAGTTAAAGCTATTGTCTGTTATTTTGGTAAAGAGGCATAATTTTTTCCCAATGCAGCAGTTTCTTAGAAAACAGAGATTAAAGCAATTGTAAATGTGTGGACAGTACTCATCAATGCTTTTAAATTCTTAATAAAATCACCTGTGGTGAGACCACAGAATGGTTATGGGAACTCCAAGCAGAAAGTATTGACTGCTGAGCATAATGGCATATTTATACACGTGCATTTATTCCAGCTATCAGAGGGTGTTCTACAACTTAAAACAATGCTTCAAAAGTTTGGCTTTTAAAATCCTCAGTCACTGCAGGTAACCAAAACAGGAAGTTAAAAACAAAATAGATGAAGAACACAAGGTGTGGTATTGGCTGTAGCAGACACCTTGGTCCATATAGCACCCCAGGAGAAGAGGATGGTTTTGTTTTGCTGTTGGTTTTTTTTGGTCTGTGTGTTTTGAAACGTGAATCTGAATCTAAATTAAGAACGCATTGTTTCATCCTTTTTTCTTTTTAATGGATACACACTGTGGTATTTTTGTCACAATTTAGCTTTGTTTCAAAGTCTAATATCTGTCTTTGAGAGGCTTCAAAAGACATTCTGTGGCAACTTTTTTTGTTTTTCCTTTGTTTCCTTGTATATATTAAGCTTGGTGCAAGGAAACTTTGCAGTAATTAAAATAACTGCATAATCTCCATTGTTATATTTTTCTTGACTGAGTAGATCTGTTTTAATTTTACGATGTGATTATTTACAAGGAAGTTATGCCAAATTCTGGTGTATAATTGTTGAAGATTCACCCGTGGGAAAAGCTTCATCACAAACTTGGCAGGAAATACTTGGCCATTGCTTTCTCAGAATTCATCCAAAGAAAGTGCCTTTGACTGAAAGGAGAGTCATGCACCTCTGTTTGGAGGAAGTCCTACAGTTTTTTCTTTCCTTCTTGTAAGGACTCCAGTCTCTTTGTTAGTGTCTTAGAGTGTCTTAGGAAATAATATATGAAAATATTTCTTTTTCTCTGTTAGGAAATTTTTCAGAGTTCTTCCTCTACCAAGTGAAAACTGGAGTGCTTTAGTAGAAGAGTGGTGTTGTCACCCTAATCCCTTTGCAAGAAGCACTTTACACCCTCAGCATGATGACTGTTTTCTTGGAGAGACTTTTCTCCTGTTGAATTCGAGAAATGAATCATATGTGCCTGAATCTCTCAAGTGCAGCTCAGAGACTGAACATCATCACACTTCTCAGAATGACTCTACCCTGGTAAAGTAGTTTGTTTTAATAATTCTTAGGGGAATGTATTTGAATTTTTTTCCTTGTGAAACACATTTTTATCACTGGCTTATTTAACTTATTACAAGGGTGTTTTGAAGGTCAAAGAGGGTTGTTGGCATTCAGCTGCATTGAAGCCAGACAATACATGCACCATGTCATGACACTGACCTGGGTATGAACCATTTGACAATGTAGTTCTGGAACCAAGTGTTCCCTTTTCCCCCCAGAAAAATATCCTCAGTGGAGAACATCAACATTTATTCAGATCATAACTGTGATTGGTTAGGTGTTTTACAAGGGACAGTGAAACAAAGCAAAAGGAGAAAACTAGAGTAGCATTGCTTTTCTTCCCCAAATATGACTGGATGCATAACTATAAATATGATAAAAGGAAAGTGTAGGTTTTGTTTTGTTTTATTTTTAGTAAGATTTAAAACAATCAGAAAGTGTTTCAGATATAGCTCTCTTATGCTGGCAGAATGAAAGAAGAATGTTGAGCTTATTTGAGGGCTCTTTGTCTGGTAAAAAGGATCTGCCACTCCGGACTGTAACTGCTGAAGGTGACTTCTGTAAAGTGTTCCAGGAGGAGATATCCATCAGCTGAGCCTGAAGGAATAGGGCTACCGTTTAGCTTAGAAACATCAAAATTTGTTGTTGCTCAGGAAAAAAAAGTGTTTATAGGCTGATACCGTTGTTTCAGTAGTGAGTTGAGGAAATAAAATAGATTGCTTTACTTGTCTTGGAAATCCAGCACTCATAAAAGTTTGAGCAATAATTACTTCTGCCACCAAAAGAGCATCAAGTAATTTAGCTTGCATTTCCATAAAATCTTTTCTGTTAATGTACAGTTTGTCTGTATTTGTGTTAACACTTATCCTGCAGATCAGTCCCATACTGTGTATTAAACCTAATAGTTTAAAGTTCTTCAGCAATTTTGGAAACTGTTACTGCCTTGTGTGTCTGTAACAGCTGATATGCGGATTCCCTGCAGCAAATTCTTCATCTATTGAAAGTAACATCAGAGGCCCTGATTCTTATATAGTGCTGCTGTTTACCATCATAAGGGATTTGTATTATCTCCTTTTTAAATCGACAGGATTCCAGCAGGTCAGTTGCCAATGGTGTGATGCATCCTAGTGAGCCATCTGTTTTGAGAACAGTTCTGTCCTCCTGTCTGTATCTGCAAGTCCTGAAGCTATGGTCTCTCTAGTTTCTTGTTCCGTTGTTCTTTGAAAAACAAAATTTGGGGAAGGGAATATAAGAATTGGTATCCTGAAAGGATTTCAGCATGAGAGAAGCAGATTAATCTGGATTAGCTCTTGAGTTATTTGACAACTGAAGTTATGTATTCTAAGTATTCTTAAGAAGGCGGATAAGTAGAAGATTTTGAATTTCCAAGAGGACAATGCCTTCTGTCAGAGGTCTCCAAAATTAATTATCTCACATCTCAGTAGTTTCAAAAGGGATCATGGAACAATGGGAACAAAGATGGGAAGAGGCAGTGTCTATGGAATTCATACTGCAGCCCAGAGAAGGAGGAGCAGTCTGCCCAGCATACTTTTAAAATCAATCAAAGAAATGTTTGACAGGGAAATGCTGCCTTTGAGGCAGAAACATAATAAAAAAGATACGGGACAGAAATGTTACTGAGATATGGGTCACCAGAATAATAACAGAACTTTGAATGAGAGAGGAGGCTATTTTCTGTCAGAAACTTACAATACTAATTTAGTGCGATGAATCTTCGGATTGGCTTTCTTGTTTAGAACTTGAGAATTCTTTCCTTGTTTGTGTCAAATCCCTCTTTCTACATCTTTCAGGCTTACACTGAATTCCAATTTCCATGTTTTCGTATTTCTAGCATCGCTCAGTTGCCAAGGAAATGAGCAGAAAACTATAAGATCAAGCAGAAGCTGGATTAATAAGGGAGAAAGTCTTCATACTGAAACAGAAAATTCTTCCATAATATGAGAGGAATAGAAACAAGACAGATTGCTATTGGCATAAATGTTCTCATTTTGGAGAATACCACTGCGATTTGTCTCAGTATGAAAGTTCTTTTTTAATTGCATTGCAGTTCTTAGGAAAGTGTTTGTGTATGACCAAAATAGTAGCAGGAATATACTAGATACGCTTGAACAATCTTGTCCTGCCTCCTGTGGGACCAAGACAACATCCTTCCATCGCAAACATATTTCTCACATCTATTAGTCTTCCAGGGTAACATAGTATTTAAATGTCACATGGTTCTGCAGCATCCTAACAGTATCTCTTGGGGAAAATATTTTTCCCTGTTGCCATATCAGGGATCTTTAGGAATAGAAGCTGAAAATGCTGGGCTGGTGATCCACCTCCATCTGCCGGTTGCTAGCAGCTGCAAGTTATCAAATAGATATATTGATTTAATTAGCTTAGCTAAAGGTATTGCTTTTTCTGCTGAAGTGTGATATGGTGAGTTAGTGGTGCTTTATAGGTACAGTACTTCACAGTTCTCAGCTAGTACCTGTAACCATAGTCAGGAAAAAGCATCTGAGTTGTAGCTTTCAAGGAAGTGCTGCTATATACAGTTACTGTGCAATTTTTGTATCATCCTCAATAGAGAGGGCAGAGGATTAGGACTTTATCATCATGAGTTCAGATCCTGTGGGCCACTTCCTTGTTTTTGGGAAGCTAGAACAGTCCTTTCTGTTCATTTTAGTATTTGCATAGTACAGATCAGAGAACTCTTGCCAGACATTCCCAGCATCAAATCCTTCATTTCTGTTTGAGCTGTAGCATGACTTTGAGAAAGATGTCAAATACTGATTTAATAGTCAAATGAAGGCAACTTTATCATTCTTTCGTAAACTATTTCAGTCGTTAATCAACCCGAATCTTTGCTGCCTACTTATTAAATTAAACACAGTAAGAATTGTAACTCTTTATCTCTTTTCCTGTCTTTATTTTCTGGAAAGTATTTTTGTAAGTTTTCCAATTATTTTCAACACTCTCTATAGATGCATTTTATCAGTAATCACATTACTAATTCTGGAGAATTAAATTCTCTATATTATCCTTGTAGTGGAAATGCTAAGTCATGTCCTGAAGCAGTGATTGAGCACCTGCTAGGAAGGCAGGGTCAACTCAGGGGTGCTCAGGTGCATACAATGCACCTGAATGACCAGAAGGGGTGGAGTCAGGATCCACCTGTTCCCAGACCTCATGTAAGGGCTGGCAGTGGAAATGAGGTTATCTCGCTGGAGATCCCTGCCTGCCTGAGGTCTTCTAAAGGTAAGCAGTTGTTTTTTCTTTGTTTCTCTATCCTGTGGCTGCTGCATTTGGGTTGTCCTCATTTGCTGCGTAGGACTTTGCTGCCCTGCCATTGTTGCTGTGCTTTCCACTGCATTATAACATTATAATCCTTATCAACGATTCAACTGTTTATACATTCAGAAATCATTTTTTTCTCTTTCTTCTGTAGCATTTCATTAGTAACTCATGGTTAGCTAGCTACTATCATCTAAATTCTTTTAATTTTTGCTGTCATCTGCTGTTTGAGCACGTGCTTTGGAGTAAGTGTAACTTAATGGTCCAGACTGGTGCTTGTAATTCATTTGTTTCCCATGTGTAAGTTTCTCTGTCGTTGCAGTAAGAGGTACCTACTGAAAAATTGGCCCAATGTATGTATTTTACTCCTTCATCACCTCTTTCATGGCCTCTGAATCAGAATGAATCAAATAATAATGTATTATTTAATGGTGACAAGGATAATTAGGCTTGGATATCTTCATAATCTGGAAGCCCATCATCTAGGTTCTGCAGACAATCTGTAACAGACATACCTCAGCATTTTCCTTCAGAAGATGAAAAGTGTACCTGAGACTATACTAAGACGATAGGATGTATTTTATTCAACTTTTTTTTTTTTTAATTCTGTAATGTGGTAGGCTACAATTTACCAATTTGTGATCTGGATAGTAGTCTGTGAGAACTGCCTTGCATCACACATTTTAAAATTTGAGGACTATGGTGGTGGCAATGAACATAAACCATATTCTCTCCAGTTGGAATGTATGGGAACTGTAGGCATCTCTTAGGCTGCAGAAAAAGATAAATGCAGAGTGGAAATACTCTAATTTGCTCTAAATTTAGACAGTCTTATGTAGGCAAATCCTGCGGTAGGATTTCTTAAGTTGGTTGTGACTTGTTTGGACTTTACCAAGCCTGTAAGGCAGTAGTTGTTCAACTACACATTGGTATTTTTATGCACTGTGTATTGAGTTAACAATTATGAAAGTATTTGTACAAAGACAATTTAGAGGTCTTCTCATGAGATTCCAGAATTTTTAGTTGCGGAAAGGTTTTTTTAACTCGGGAGCATCTGTGTTTGCCTACACATCTTACTTCCAGATCAGAGTTGTACTGTGCTACAGCCAGGCTGATAATCTCACGTAGAACCAATCCTGGAGTTTGTGTTAAAGTAGGAGTTGTGCTTGCTTGTATCCATCTACTGATAATGAGTTTAAATGTGAAGACTGGAATTACTAGAATAGAGCTGTATCCACACCACCTTTCTGAAATACCATAATACATTGTGTTCTGTAGTTCTTTCCTAGTAATTCTGCGTTCTCTATAGACCTTTTCTACTTTGCTGAACAATAAACTGTTCATTCCTACAATCCTGTCCACAGTGGTTAAAACTTTCTACTGAGTGATGGTAGTGTGTGGGAGCTGTTGAGTCACATCCTGAACCACTGAAAGATTGCCTGGGGAAAGGACCCTGTCAGCCCTGGGAGCACAGGTGAAAGCAACTCAGCTGTGTGACTGGAAGGGGTGGAGCATGGCTGCACCTCTCTTATAACCCCCCCCATTTAAGGGCTGACTGCTCTGGGGAAGGATCTCTGGTTGGAGATCCCTCCCTTGTGGATTTTTTCCCCGTGAGCCTAGATCCTCAGAGATGGGTGAGCATTCCTTTCATGTTCGTCCCTTTTGCTATTCCACTTCTGTATTGTCTTTCCACTGCGCTCATCTTTCTGACTGTAACAGGTCGTCATTTTACAGTGTAATATTTTGTATGTGTAATTAGGAATAGTTCTTGTGTGCATTATTTTTCCCTTATCAAAATTGAATTTACCTCATCACTTTATCATACAGTCACTGAATATTATGAGATTCTCTTGTTATCTGTTATCATAGTTGTCCTATGTGATTGGTTATACTGCCAGATTTAAAAATTGTTATGAAACTTGAAAGCGTGTTGAAGTGTAGAAGACTGAAGTAGTAAATGCACATCTTTGTGTATGTGAATATAAAGGGAACAGACTGAAGTACAAAGTTCACTATATCCTACTGGGAGTATGTTAAAATTATAGAGTTCTTTTTCAGAATAACAGAGCAGCATCTAAATGATGTTTCTTTGTCCTACAGAAATCAGAGGAAAATACCAGAGTAATTTGTGAGCGCTGCAAGACAACACTGGGAGAAACAGTATCATCAGGTATTATGTGTGCAATCTTAACTGTACTTGCCTGCATCAGAGGTTAAAAACTCCAGAGGAATGTTGTTTATCAGAAAAAATGTAATGCTGGAGCCAGTGTGTTTGTGGCATTCCCTTCTGGAATTGCTCTCTCTGTGAGACCTTGAGCTAGTGACTTACACAGGGACGTTCCTTGTTTTGGTTTTTGAGGCATATTTGATTAATTCTAAAGCTTTGAAAGATGGAAAGCATGGTTCCAGTTTAGTAGGAATCGCAGTCAAACAGGAGATCTGAAAAATTGCAGATCGTTTCTTTGTTGTCAGTCGTACAAAATGATGGAAAGGTTAATTCTTAGCTTGTCTTAAGCTTCTAGTGCTTTGTGAACTGTTATTGCTAACAGCAAGTCTGGTTTCATGGAAAGGAAGTCTCTCATCGTTTGATGATGAAATTGTGAGATTCTTGGTTTTATAAAAGCTGTTGTGACATTGAGTATTTAAAGCTTACCTGATGTATTCAGAAGATGTTCTTCAAAGTGCCATTTTTAACAGAGAGATAAGCAGTGATAAGACTGTTTTTAGCAGGATTTTTTTCTTTCGTTCTCTCTCTGCTCTACTGCAGATGTGTGAGTCCATCTCAGTTCAGAGAATATAAAAATGTAGCAGGAAATGCAAAGTCTGTTTCAGAAATAAGTTATGAGTAGACAGAAGACAGAAGTTTGAATGATTATTCTGTACAGAGATCTAAAAAATACAAGCGCTAAGAAAAGTATTTTTTTAAGGTAAGACGTTTGAAATCCTACAAAGCAAGTTGTAAGTCTTTGCAAAATCGAGCTAGAAAAGATCCTTACAAATCCTCACAAATTAATGCCCTCATCTAAGCCTTCAGACAACTCTAGCAATGGTGTGATCATTGATAGAGGAAGCAGGAAACAGTGTAGATGTGCAGGGGATTGTTTTGGACTCTATATTTTGGTGGAGTTAGAAAGCTTGTTGGTTGCTTTCAGCATGTTCCATCAGCACTGTAAAAGCTTTATGGAGAATTCGAAGAACAGACACAAATCTGTTCTTTTCCTCATCTCTATTCCCATATATGCTTAGGCTTTTTTTGGTGGGGAAGAGGGAATTCCCACCTTTTATTTCTGCGGGCAAACATCTTCTCAATTCCCAGTACTTTTTACAGCAGTGGAACCTATTCCTTGCTTAAGGTAAGCCTTCTTGGACAGGGCACAGCACGGAGCTGACTAGAATTAGCTCAGAGGTAACATACAATTTCTTAACAGTGAGGATAATTAAATTAACTATAATACTTATCTAGACAAGGTGTGGAGTTGCCAAGCCTTAGAATAGTTAAAACAGGATTAAGTGTCTTACTGAGAATCATAGAATAGATTGGGTTAGAAAGGACCTTAAAGACTGTCTGGTTCTGATTTCCTTGCTGTGAGCAGAGAAGCTTATTTTCATCCAGGTTTTACGGTGTGTCTGGACAGCTGTCAAATGAGGCATTCCATTCTACTCTTGAAATTTATGGAACTGATGAATCTTCACTGTTGCTCATATGTTAAGTCTTATTGGAATTAAGTTCTTTGTATGTGTAACCTTTTCTGCTTGCTATTTGGTTAGGCTGTGTGTGTAGCCTACGCTTGGAGCTTCGATGTGATAGTTTTTTGACATTCTTGATGAAGACTAAATTCTGAACTCAAAACATTTCCACTTGGTGTTAAAAGAATGTCTTAGTGGAGCTTTTTGGAAACACATTGAAACTTGAGATGTTTTGTATATTAACATAATGTTAGTGCAGTTTTTGGAAAGAGATTCTAACCTACCTCTTTGAGCAAGGAAGAAGATTATTCCCGTGTGTAATGTTACTGGAACTCTTGTGGTTCACTGCAGCATTACTGAGCAGCAGAGGATTCTAAAATACCATGTAAGCTATGCTGATCTCAGTAATTTAGGAAAGGGTTTTTTTTTTTTTTTTACTATGTCTTACAGGTTTGTCTTGATAGCAGTGCGTAGTGGACAGGAGTTAATTGACACCAGCAAACATCAATATGTAAGATGTTTCAGTCCAGGTGTTTGGGTTCTTGCATACTTTGTTTCAATGTGATTGTTCCTACTGTTAAACAGGGATCAATGTGAATGGTAAACTGCTAGAATGCTGCTCTGAAATAATTACACGATCAGCAGTGTTTTCTTTTATCAGATACTTCTCCCAAAGACTCAAGCATGAATTTGATCACATGCTGCACATCTTAATTGACTGTGGAACAAGAAACTAATTATAGTGTAATTAAATACAAAAAAAAGTCTTCGTTCTTTAAAGGTGTTTTTCATTTTAGATACTGTTAAATACTATGTGACTGAGGTGATTGTTTGGCCATCTGAGGAAAGCTTCAGCACAATACCAAGGTAAAAAAAAAAAAAAATAATCAGATAAGTTGCTTAGTTTTTTATATTCTGGAAAGGATGCTAGCAACCAAGTAACATTTTAATATTGAAAATTTTAAGTATAACAAAGTGCTACATTTTAAAGGTAATGTACTCTGTATTCACTCATGCACAATTTTGTGTCTATAATAAGGAGATTACAATTTATTGCAGTATTTCACTGTTCAGCCAATAAACAAAAATAAAATACTTATTTGAATTATGTAAGTTTTCATGGCATTTGGTGACTAACTATTGAAATTGAAGATAGTTGTGTAGAGTGAAGTAAGCTTGTAATGTTTCATTGGAAGTTGGGCTTTTAGATTTTCAAGTAATTCAATTTGTAGCTAAGATGACACAGAACGTCTTCAATTATCTTGTATTATATACTTTCTATTAGTCATTGGTCTTTCTATTTGTGAATTATATTTTAAGTATGTACGCTTTTCTGAACTTTGTGTTTTTATGTATAAAGTATAAGGAAAAACGTTTACTCATCATTTGATGTTTGGTGTTGGTTAAAGTAAGGGATATGGAGCAATTTAGGTGCTGATCTGTTAAATAGTTCCTGTTGCAGGAGATAGAAGGTGGTTTTGGTGGAGGCAAAGATAAAGAAACTCAATTTCTGTGTGAAAATAGATAGTAAGATTGTAGTGGAATTCATAGTATGAAGTTGCTCATTCTTGCACTGCATTGGTATGAATGATCCTACCTGTGTAGTTGCTATTAAAATGTACAATGCGTTTAATTCTTTTAACAGGTCTCAATTCGTACAGAGTATGGTTGCTCAGTGTCTTGTGGAATTGTCCTCTGCTAAAAGCACATTTAGATTCACCATAAAAGGTGACAATGGAAGGATCTATATACTGGTAAGTTTTTTATCTCAAAAAAAGCTTGCTAGGTAGAGCAAAAGCTGTGTCTGTAAGCAAGGCAAAAAAGGGAATCCGTTTAGTACTTTCAATCAGCATGCTGGTATTCAGCCAGTTCTAAGAAAGCAGGGCTCCTCATATGTAGCAGTTTCTTGGGAATATAAACACCATCGCTCCCAGGGGCATTTTCATGCCTCCTTTCCCCTGGCTTTTGTTCCTGTGCATGATGCCCTGTGGCCAGTTCAGATCAGCTGTCTTGGCTGTGTCCCCCTCGCAGCACTTTGTACATCCCAGCCTCCTTGCTACTAAGGCAACATGGGAAGAAGATAAGTCCTTGGTTCTGTGTAGGCATTGCTCAGCAACAATGAAAACATCAGAGTGATACTGCCTCTGCTTTTGTCCTAAATTCAGAACATAGCGTTGTACCAGCTACTATGGAAAAAATTAACCCCATCCCAGTCAAAACCAGAACACGGAAATAACAAGAATTTCTACTCAGAAAATATGGAAAGCTTAGATCTTGGCTTTGTAAAATAATCTCATATTTCTGTTCCAGTGTTTCCTAACTTTAATCACTACAAGTTCATCAAATTATGTAGTATCTTTCACAAATGCTTTCTTAGTTCAGGAGAAATTATTCATGTAGTCAATATATTGCATTAGAAAGTGAAACACAGACAATAGTAAAATTTCCAATTGTACTTGATGATTTAATGCTGTTAAGCTTGTCTATTTAGACAGTAACAGCTAAATTCTTCAAAGTTTTAAGGTGAATTGGGATTTGATCCTGGAGTTTAATAATAGAGGCCAGCTTAGCATTTTAATGCTCATTATTAATCAGGACGAGGTTGAGTTAACATAGAAACCAGCTTCTAATTGTAATCCCTTCCTTTTTTTTTTTTTATTTTTTTATTTTGTGTGTGTGTGTGTCTGTGTGTGTGTGTCGAACATAAAAATGCCTTGTTCATTTCCATGGTGATACTCTGGGAACAGTACATACACCGACAGGTGTTCCAGAGGTACAGTTTAAGTCTTGAGACTCAGAGACCTTGTGGATACAAGTGTAATGTAAGCAGAGTTTATACTAATGTTTGCAAATAAATTAAAAAAAGTAACTGCTTAGGGCTGTAAGTGCACAGACAAGTGGTTTCATCACTGATGTATAGTGGGCCAGCTGTTCCACTTGTTTGTATTGAAAATGAACCTGTCAAAGATTTCCATGTGTAATGTTTGTGCTTATATACCTGAATGTACGCAGCCTAGGCTGTGTATTTAATAATTAAGGTTGAGGTCCTTCAGAAGTCTTCTTTTGAAATGTTTATTGTCTCTGTGTATATCACTTAACGTTATACAGTTACATTATCTGTGGAGAGCATAACTTGAGTTTCTGTAAATTGTTGATAACCAAGTTTTTGAAAGCTCTGTACTTAAGGATTTTTTTAGAAGACTGAGAGTAAATAAAACTGTGATAGAAGATTAAAATGTGGCTCAGACAAATCTTTACTTATCCTGTCTGTGTCATCTCCTAGATGGGCTTCATCTAATAAAACTCCAAAAGCTTCACCTGTGAAAATTTTATGGTAGGGTCCTGAGAAGTCCAGTCTTAACAAAGTTGTTCTTTGGAGTAGGATTAGGTAAGTTAGCTCGTATTTTAGCATTGAGTGGGAAGGGAGTAGGAAGGTAACGCAAGAAAAGAAATGAGACAAATGAGAGGGACTTGTCAGTCAGATACTGGTTCTTCGATTGTGTTTTTGAGGGCTTGAGGAGAATGAGTTCGCATTTGTCAAGGCTAGAGAAGGGGATGTTGCAGCAATCAAGATGTGATGACTACCTTGTTGAGACTTAGTTAACCATCTCTTTTGGAGAGTTGTATTCTCTGTGAGGTATGAAGAAGACCGAATTTAATCCACTTAGTTTAAATGTGAGGGCAGAGGTGTTGTAATGGAGTGTATGTGCAGTACGAATCCACGTGATACCAGAAGTATTGGTAATGTCTGCAATAGCTGGGAGTGAGGAGGAACAACAGCTGTTTCTAGCCCTGTTAAATCAAAGTTAGTGCCTTATTGTTCTCAAAGGGAAGCTGAAGACATAGGTTGAGATTTTGGGAAACTCACCGAAAGTAGATCGCTGTATTTTACTTATTTGGATCAAATCCCACCAAGTGTAACAGAGATTTGTTGCAGCTCTTTTCCTGACAATATCTTTGAAACTTACTGGCAGGATGATTTAAAAAGGAAAAAGCCACGTGAAAATACTTTCTCCCGAAGCTGCCGTATGAGGAAAGGTCATTAATCTGCATTATGAATAAATTCTAAACTTTATCTATCAATCTTTGTTTGAAAGCTCTTTTCTTACTGGAGTTAAAGCCAAAGGAATTTGGTTCAGCATGCACTGTTTTTGTACAAAATAATAGAAAGAAAGATTGTCTGTGGTCAACAGAATGGTTGAAAGCACAGACGAAAATCTGAATGCTGTGCTAGCCACAAATAACATATATAAGCTTCTTTGAGTCACTGCACTCAGCTTAGTGAGCGGTTGTTCATTCACACCAAAAGCAGGATTTGAAAATAAGTCATTTATAGTTGATAGTTGTAGAATATACTTTTTTTTTTTTTTTTTTCCCCCCTCATAGCGAAGTGTTTATTCTTCCCTTCTAAAGGTTCAGTTGATTGTTTTGCACTGTGGGCTAAATGACTAATGCAGACCTGTGGTGTCACTATTGAGGAAAGGACATTCTTTGAAGAAGTGGTAGGAAGTTGCTGTTAGAAATCGCACATCAGCACTTTTGATAGAAGTACTTTTCACGTAGTTCATGTTGCAAATTAAAGGGATTAATTGCTTTCTCTGAAGAAAGTTCCAGGAAAATTCTGACAGATACAACTGTTCCATGGACTAATTGTATGGATAGTTGCCTTCCAAAAAGCATCCAAAAGGGGCTTCTTAAAAAGGAAGTCTTAATTTCAAAATTAAGAAATGCTGTTTAATTAAAGCTAGTTGTGGTGGTAATGGCCTTTGTGTTTAGGTTGCTTCTCTTCTGTCCCCATTTTCTCCAACATCTTCAACGTGCAACTTAAAAGCACTGTGTGTAACAGCCCGAGCTGTGAGGTATATTTTGCTGTTCAGTTTATGAATGTACTTTGAGTTACCAGAACAAAACTGATAAACAGCCACTTGCTAAGTGTGAAGCTCAGTTGCTTGTCATCATTTATGTGTGTATGGGAACTACTGAGTCACAGCCTGAACCTCTTTTTGATCACCTGAGGCGACCCATGAGTCAGCCAGAGGAGCACAGGTGAAGCCTGGCTCCACCCCTCCTAGACCTATTTAAGAGCTGGCTACCAGTGGGGAAGGATCTCTTCTGGAGATCGCCTCTATTGGTGTTTTGCGGTGAGCCCAGCCGAAGGGTAAGCCTCCCATTTTGTTCTCTTTTGTTATCATTGTCCACTTTGCCTAACTCTCTTGATTATATTGTAACATCTTGATATCCATTGATTATACAATTGTAACATCTTGATATCCATTGATTATGCAATGTGTGTAAGCAAAATTGATTGTTCCCTCTTAGAACTTCTTTATCCATTCATCAGGGAAAATTTCACAAATAAGTATAGAGATACTCTGAGCTTTGATCTCCAAACTGTGATTGTTGCATTCAATTATGACATATACTGTGTGTCCTGTTACCAGTGGCTTTTTTTCCTAACTGGGCATGTCGCACATCTGCTACCAGCCTTACCTTAGACCATGTTAATTGCTGTTTTTCTCATTGTATTTCTTAGATCTATCCAGTCATAAGTAAATGTTTTGTAAAACTTCTTACTTGTTCCCACTTCTAGTGGGCAGTCTTTCAGTTCCCTGCCTGTAGCACGCAGTCATTCAAAATGATGTGCTCTACTAGAGAGAAAGAGATGTTAATAGTGAATGACTGTATTAACTCCTGGTTTTCTTCTCTAGGGACTGTGATATGTAATAGTGAAAATAAAATGTCAGTTTGCTGTTTTTTGACACTTCCTTAGAAACTGTCACGCTGTGTTAGTATCAGCTGTTCATGGTACATCGGATTTAGGATTAGAGTAGAAGAAGAAATTGATGTCATCCTCAGTAAAATAATTTATTTCTTTATTTATAGATATGGCTTTTAAATTCTGACACATTGCTGGTGGAGTCCTCAGGAAGTTCCTCCTCCCACAGTGACTTTACACTGTTTGGCGATAATTTCATGCCAAGCTGTGGACCATCAGGGATGTGGAATGCTGTCAAAGTTCTCTACCAGCCGTGCATTAATAACAAGAATAAAGAGTAAGTATGGCCTTTTTTGACCTCAGATTGTGATTTTTGATTAATTTTGCTTTTCAGGTCAGAAATATTTCTTTGAGGTCCTTTAGACAGTCCAGTAACATCAGAGGTGTATGTTCCTTTTCAGGATTACATGTTTTACTCTTTTTCATTTCGTTATCAAAAGGAAAAATAATAGTTTGGTTTTCCCTTAGAGAAAATCTAATGGTTAAATTTTTGCAGCGTAATGTTAATATGTGGACAAGAGAGTAACGCTGTTCTTGGAGGCACATATATAAATGATATAAACAAAGTTATCTCCCTTACATGGGAGAATGATTTACTTTTTCATTTCTTCATTTTTTCCCTTTCTGAACTCACTGTGTACTTTTAGAGCTTGGTCTTTTCTTCAGCTCTGTTGACAGATGCTGGAAATATTGTGGTGCCAGAATTCCAAGGAGGAGTAAGGTCTATCCATACTGTCTCAGACATGCTGCTCTATAGCTGTAGCTCTGGGCAGCATAACTGAGAGAGGAGGGAAAATTGAAGGACGGTGAGCATAGGCTGTTGCTTGAATGATGCTTGTGTTTAGCCAGATCTTTCTCTTTGACTTTTTGTCAAATTTCTGTGTTTTACATGAAAATCCAATCTCATCTGTCAAGATACTTAAAGGAGTAATCCTTTCTGTGATTCCCCAGTAAAGAATTTGGGCATTTTTGGTACAGTTGAAATCAAGAGGGCAGAGCTGGGTTGCTCATAGTTCAGCAGATTTTATCTGCCTGTTCCAACTTCAGTCTTGACCATTAAAATTATGCTTTGCTTTGTAAGACGTAGAGTTGTGTGCAGGACTGGAATGTCTTAACCCAAGCTACCTTTCGCTACCTTTCTAGTGGATCACAATAAATTAGTATTAGAATAATCTCTGTTTATGTGGACAGTGTGCTTAGCAGTGCCACTGTTAAGATATACTTCTTGTAGCCTAGAAGAATAGGAATAATGCCATACAGTAAACCTCTGCTTTTTGCGTTACTTGTTTGTGAAGGAGATGTCCTTTTTGGATGATTCAGAAATTCATTGAGACAACAAATTAGCCTGAGTGTAACTGTAACTTGCATTCAAACCAGTGATGGCAGTATCTCAAGCACAAATGAGGCCTAAAGAAAAGGGGAAAGAGAAGAGGTAATGAAGGTGGTTGAGTTGAATGCCATACCAATATTTATGTTTCCAAGTCTGCTAGAGCCCCTAGGAAAAATTTTATTTGAGCAAACATTGAAAAGACATTATGACAAATGTCCTACCTAATGTATTAAAGGCTGTAACTGTTAGAAAGCAAAGGTGTGAGAATATTAAGCAGTGACTCTGATGTTTGCAGGTGATAGAAAACTTTAAATATAATTTCTTGCTTTTAGTTCTGTAGTGATAGAACAGACAGATGTTTTTCTGTAGGTCACCCTTAAATAGTGGTTTAGTGTTCTTATTTTTCCTTCAAATTTTGGAAATAAGATGAAAGTTTTAAAGAGCTATGTATGTATGTAAAATGTAGAAGGGGTTCCCTGAAGATTCAGTGAGTACACTAACTTATAGTCCAAGAGCTCATAAAAGTACAACAAAATGTCTTGCACAGACAAGGAGGTATGCGTACATCATACACGTTTAGATATTTTCATGGAAGAAATATACACCTTGCAAAAATGTGATGCATTATAGTGAATATTGCCAAGATTATCTGTCTTAATTTTCAAACAGATTCCAATATTGAGTAAGTGAAATAAACTCTCTAACATGGGAAATATATTTAAAGTGGACCTATTTAAATAAAAAGATGAAACTACGGTACAAGCTATTACTGTTATTGATAGAAAAGATTACCTTTATGAATGGTGTAGCTTCAGGAATTGGCATTGGAAATATATGATCCAAAATGTTATTTAGTGCACAAAAATGTGTCTTGAAGGATTTACTTTTAAATTGCTTGTTGTTAGAATGGGTATTAGAAAAACCACTACTTGCTCTTGAAGATGCTCAGTTTACCGCTTTTAAGTCATAGAGTTGTAACTCACAGTTTTGTGAGATTTAATTACCTTAAGATATACTTTTACATAAATTGAGGTAAAAGTTGCATCTATTTAGTCAATTACCTAGTGTTCAAAAAAGCTTTTCTTGAGTAGTATTTTCAGCAGCGTAATTCTACTCTGTGATTGTATTTGGTTCTTCTGTTTTCCCAGGCAGACTGGTTACAGTTCTTTTTTTGAAAGTTACCTTGTATTTACCTTTGGAATTTGAAAGGTGCAACTCAGGCTTTAATTCTCCTCTAGCAGTAACTGTTCTCTCCTTGGCTTATAATGCAAAAACAGAAGAGAAAGGACCATAGAGGTTTGCTGTCATTTCATTCTCTCAAGCATGTTGGGAGCTTTTGTATGTTTTGGTGTAGGTGTGGTATAAGAAATTAAAACACAGTCCATTTAATACTGTTATCTCTGACCATTTGTATCTTCTTGCATGCATGTTTCCCAAACTGTTTGATACTTGTTTAAGTACATTGTTGTCATTTCTTCCAGTTAGGGATTTTAAAAAACAGAAGAAAACTGCAGGTGTGCCTACAGGTTTGTGTACAAGCTGTTATTAACTGTGCTCTTGTTCCAAAGTTAATGTGCTGGAGCAAGATCCTTCTTGCTTAGCACTCTGGCACATTTTGCATGTGTAGTAGCCCAGTGTGCTTTATGGAACAGAAGAATCATTTGGCTTGTTTTTGGTGATGAACAAGTGTGTGTTGGTTTAAAAGAATGGTTTGTTTTTGTTTGATTCAGTCTACATCAGTATTGCCTGTAAATATCAGATCGCTGAATCCCAGTGTGGTTGAGGTTGAAAAGAGACCTGTGGAGGTCATCTGGCCCAGTGCTCTGCTCAAGCATGGGCACGTATGGTCAGCTGCATAGCATAGATGACTGGGTAGCTACACCCTGAACTACCTGAAGTTTCCTCTGTGGGAAAGCTACTTCTTCTGAAGGTTGTGCTTGCTGCTTGTACTGACAGCCTAGAGGATTTGAGCTCTACCTTTAAAATAACTACTTATGGTAGAGAATTAGTGAGAGTGAAAAAAATATTACTTTTGAATCTGAACATAGCAAACAAGTGTATTTAAAATAGTGTGATTAAAACTGTTTCATTTCCTGTAATGTTAACCTCAAAAGAATGTATTTAAGTGCCACATCAGATGTGGGTGTATAGCTGAAATTGCACTGATTCATAGGTATTAGCAGCAATATATTTTCTTTTGTACACTATTGATTTTGGTGTCTACTGATTTGATTAAAGGTTTGGGTTCTTTTGTCTAATGTTGCTGTTCTGGTACTTGAAAGAACATTGAGGTATAAAATGTGTAAAGCAGATACTGGAGGTGAATTTTTTTATGTGATTCAAATATTTTAGTGGCTTAGAAGGACCAATTAATTTTAAAGTAATTTGGACAGCCGGCAAGTAAATTCATCTGCTCACTGTGGAAAGGTAGGGAGGGTTGTGTTTTTGACGGGGAACTTCTGCTGAGCTGCTTTTTCTATGTAGTGATCATAGCTCCCAGTTCTGCCCTTACTGAAATAAATACAAGATTTTGGACTTCAAGATGGAAGAACAAAAATGCTTAAACTAATATAATGGCATGTATCTTTAATCTGTTGTGTTTACCTAGAAAGACACGTGTATATTGTGGGGGCAGGAGAGCTGTTCTGTTTTCATATTGGTTGATGTGCGACTCTGTTCTTTCTTTCAGAGGTGCAGAAACCAAAGTTGTTGTTGGCTTAGCACGGTTTTCCCATTCTTAGCTGTTCTATGAAGCACAGTAAAAATGACATAATGCTTCAATCTGTTTCAAGCCAAATGATGAATGTGGAAATAGTGCCTCGATGCACAGTAAGAATGAAATCTTTGTGCATTGAACAGTAATGTAAACACAACAGAGGAAAAAGTATCAAAAATGGTGCAACTTGTGTAAAGCAATGTGCTTGTGTTTAATTCTCATATTTATTTCAAGAATTTTGAACAAAAAGTCAAATTTCTCTAATAGTGTTTCAGGTATTGCATTCCAATAGTAATTATAGTACTGAAATTGCTTGTTTTTGCATACGCATCTACCTTTGAAATACTGCAGGGCTTTTGGAGCCTGTAGTCTGCTGTAAAGGATTAGAATATTGTTCTAAGCTTCATGCTGCATGTGAATGGAAGAAGCATCTCTGTCCTATTCTCTGGGATAGTGACTGAAGTAGTGAAAAGAACAGATCTGAGGACATATCATGTAGAGCCTTGGCAATGAATTATTAACAGCTGTGCTCTGGGTATTTTTTCCAACAAGCTCTGTATGTTAGAAGAACAATCAGCAGCTAATAAGGCAGAGTGAAGTTAAGACATGGGCAGATATATCCAGACACGCTATTTATAGTATAGCCCTTGGCACTTTTCCTTGCAGAGCCCTGTTCTGCTGATCTTTCTGAGGATTGCCGTTTAAGTGTTGTATTGACGTAACCTTTGCATCTTTCTTCTTCAGCTATTAAGCAGGGCTGGAAATATATCTCCTATGTGTGATAGCATGAGTCCTGAGTAGATTTGCCAACAGTTAGGTTCCTGCCCTTGTGGGAGCTGTATAAGCTGTCTTTCTGCAACAAACTAGTTGAAAGTATATGCAGAAGAACAGTTCTCTATCATTTCTTAGTGAAGGACGCCTCGTGCATTTTCTGCTCTGTTCTTACTGAGGTATTTATTGGTGCCTGCCACTCTTCTCACAGCAAGGCTCCTTTTCTCCACCTACAAATCTGCTGTGCAGACAGGAGAGATCTTCCTTTCAAGTAATGGGCAAGTAAGACGTTATACAGCCAACCTTGACTGCTGGGAGTGATCATGTTAAATAGTGCTGGAGTGAGTGTGTTGTGAGAATGTGTGAAGAAAATGAAAAATAAGGCTACGCAGCAATTTGACTATAGTTGGTCTCAGTAAATATTTGTGGAAGTACAGTTAGAGGAAATTATATTTCTCCT